ACTAATTATGTTCTTTATTATTATTTGTGAATAAATAAAGGGATTAGATGAGTAGAAATAGCATTTATTTTAAAATGTTTTTCATATTTGAATACCAGAATTTGGTTCCTAGATAAAAAAAACGAAAAGACTTCCCTAAAGATGTACAGATGTTAGGTCTGCAGCTCACCACTGTAGTAACATACAGTATGATAGGGTTGCAAAATATTTGAAAAAAAATATACAATGTGTTGCAAAGCAGCAGCAAATGAGTAAACAAAAGTCTAAAAATAACAGAGCAGCTGCACGAAATGAAAATCTCTATGAAATACTGCAGTAAAGTAGTACATTTGTGTATTTCTATTTATTATCCAACTGATTACGTTTTTATTTCTCTCCGTTTTTAAGCTTTACTTCATGATGGTCACCTGTTAGCATGAAGAATCCATGTCTCAGACATCAACACAGAAAGCTTGATTTGAGCCAATGAGGCATTCATGAGCCCGTGAGGCCAGTCATTATCTGTGCTGTGTCTGTTGACTTTGCCACATCCGTCAACGATATATTTGTGCTCACAGAGATGTAGTGTTGCACACAGTTGCATATTCAGGGCAGCCTCAGAATGCACTGTGTCAGGACACATATTGGTTTGTGACTCAGTATACATGTATGTGTCTCTGTGCTATGCCTTTTCTGTTTGTCCGCGTCCAACAAAGTAGGACATTGTCTTCCAGGATTTGTTCTCAGAGGAATCAATAAGCTTTGTTTGCTGAGTGCTGAAGAAGGAGCACATTATTTAATCTGATATCTCAATAAAGTCAAGTAATTCATTTTACATGACACATTTCATGTTGGACGAAATCTTTAGAAACTGGAAAGTCCCAAGGACTGTAATGAAAATTATTTTTCTGGAAAATACACTGCCCCGAGAATTACTGAAAGATTTTGCTAAACTTATGATTCAGGTCTTAATAAATGAAAAGTTGTATCTTAAAATTTCAAACTGCGTTTACCGGACAGGAAAATTGAAGTAGTATTTACAGATGTAAATACTTGTTGGCATTTTTTTTAAAATATATTTTTAATCTTTCACTTGTGTTTAAACAGCTGTTAGAAACTGAGAACGGAAAATTATTATTCCGAGTGAGAAAAGATGTTGATTTTAAGGAGATTTTAGTGAAATATCGTGAGAAATAGTCATAACATAGGTTGGAAAATAGCATTTGTAGCTAAAGTCAAGATAATGCTGATGTATATTTCATTAGGGACTGTATGTACATTAAACATTATGTACAGGAAACAGAAATGCTGAGGTGGGTTGAATAACTTGCATCATTCTCTACGTATATATGTGCATGAGCGCTTCACAAGAGAGCGAGGAGGACACGCTCAGTCACGTGTCCGTGTATGCACCAGTGTGTATGCGTCGCCGTAAAGGTCAGTGAGGGCATTATTGACATGCTGTATCCTGAGCACATGGAGCAGCAGAAGAAGCTGTGAGGACGAGTGGGGTGAGATCGGGGGGTGGGGGGGGGGTGTAGCGTTTCCCCAGTCGTCCTCCACTGCGATGACCCTTCCCTGTCATCTCGACTACACCTCTGTCAATACGCTTAACCTTTAACCGGAGACGAGCTGAAAAACACAAATGTCTCCTTTCACCACTTAGCATGTGTTTGCAATTAAGCATTTCTTCATCTCCACATTCACCAGTGTTGCATCAGTCGTTGCAAATATTGTTTTATGCAGCTACGCAAATCCAGGCTCAAACCCGTGACCTTGACTCTGCCTTCTCTAAACTAGACGAAAAAAAATGTCATTCAGTTGTTTTTCAGGAAGTTTTATCTCCATCGTGCACCACGCCCTTCAGTTTCTTTTCTCTAAGGCAGTTATTCACAGTGACAACCACAGTTCTTACCCAGGTTACCACGTTGTTTGATTGCGTTTACGTTTTTAAACTGTTGTGACATGCCTTCAAAAAGAGAGAAACGCCTTTCTCTGTATTCGAAAAACAGACAAAAAAAAAAAAAAATCATCAGTGCACCAACAGCTGCATTCCACAATTTTACATCTTTGACAGGTTTTGGCCAGAGCAGCGTCTTCACTTCACATTGAGAACACATTTTTCTGTCTTTTTCAGAAAGAAAAGAGAGAAAATAAAGCATCTGTGTGATAGGGCCATATGCTGGTGTCACATGACCAAGAGCTGGTCATGATGTGCTGATATGAAAGACACACTTCCTCTTCTCTGCTCTGTAACGTTTATACCACGTGTCTGCTAGACCGATAGGAAGGTCACAGTTTCCCTCTCATGCTGTCTTCCCATTTCCTCATTGTGGTTGACCTTGCACCATCTTATAAGACCTTGTATTCCCAGGCAGTGCTGCTGAACACAAAGCCAGACTGTCACATTGAGGACAGAAGCTTGGATGAAATGGTGGTGTGGGAAAAAGAGAAAAAATATGGAGACCACAGAAGTCGGTGATCCACTTACTTCAACTATGAAAAAAAACCAAGTGTGATACAAAGAAAGACGATAGAATTTTACAGTGAACTAGTTGAAATGGACGCCCCCAAAAATAAAGAGGACAGACGGTTAAAGTGGAATTAGACACAGGGAGTGGCAGACTGACAACTAAGACCGTAGAAATGAAGAAATCAATAGAGGTAGGATGTCCATGTCCAGACATGATGGATCATGATGAGCCCTCATTATCGCTGCGGCAGTGTTTTACACCACGCCACGTTAATCTCAGCTACAGACACAAACACACACAAGTAAACTGTTATTGTGAAAATCCTCCAAAACACTGGTTCATTTTGAATGACAGCTGCACAGTTCCATAAAGATACTGTATGTGATGGTGAATATGGCGGCCAGTGTTGTGATTTGCGATGAGAGTATTAAAAATGAATGGAGTCATAACATATGGGCATCAAGTTTGTATTTCTTATCTTTAAACTTTGAAACTGAAACCTGATGTTTTTACAGTTTTGTTTTACCAAGGCTGTGGCACTCCACGTTACAGGTGTTTGTTTTTTTTAATTTAATCACAACTAGAACAATAGTAAAATAGAAAACATTTGACAATAACATAAAAAGTAAAATAGAAAACATTTGACAATAACAAAAAAAAATTTAGATGGATTCGATTTCAAAAAGGAAGTGAAAACAGGGTTGTAACTCAACTCATTAAAAAGTCTGAAAAGGCGTCGCATTCTTTAATCAGAATTTAAGGTTTAATTGACATTTAAATCTTTGACATCAGTTGTTTTAAAGTTGTTTTAAAAATGCAAAAGCACAACAATTATTCCCATATTCCCAATATTCATTGAGCCAGAACCCTGTGTAGATATGAATTTAAACATTACATACTGCAACTGCAACTTCAAATAACTCCTGAAGTAAAAGTACTTTTCATCAGTGTAAAAAATATGACAGAAACTTGTTCACCGCCGTGCACACAGAGAACTGGCCAATCAGGATGAGCAGATAAGTTCCAGCAGGATGCTGTGCTTTTCAGCCAACAGTTGCTGCAAATGAACTTTAATTCAACATTGTATCATATGAGCAGCACAAGTCCTAGAGCATACGGTGCAATGTGGCAGAGAAGGAGCAGACATTTTTATGGTGATAATGAGAAATTACTTTGTGCTTGGAAACAGAAGGAGGCAATAAGACATGCAAACATAAAGACGTCGTTGCATTATGTTTTAATGCTTAATTTCTAACAGCATCGGTTTGGCCACTTTAAGGATTTGTGGTTTGAAAATGTTCCTGAAAAGTGACTGAGTGATGACTGGCTTTCATTTAACAGTTACTGTGATCTTGTATGGAAGCCCAGGGTACATGGAGACACATGTCATGTGTGATAGGGTGCATGTGAGTATGCTGAGGCTGAAGCAGTCGTCAAATTTCTGTTGACATTTGTGCAACCCACTCAAAGGTCAGCACCGACCGCGATACTATATTTGCTAACAACAGGGGTCACCCAAGGCAAACCGAGGCAGTTTTCTTCTTTACCCTCACGTCTGACATACAGTATATTCATGTTGCTGGGTCATCATGACCAGGGCTGACCTGCTGCAGGGGCCTGATATACGTAGGGTGTTGCAGTGCTGTGGAGTTAGCGGTGGTTCACTGCCCTGCTGAAGGTGCACACGCTGTTCTTGGAAGAGCGATTCCTCTGCACTGGGTGTGGCGAGTTAGCCCGCATCTGCGATAAGAGCGGAACGGGCCCAATATTTTAGATTCTCCCTGGTGTTTGTCTACGCTGTTTTCGCTAAAAATAAAAGTCCCCTGGCAGCAGTACAAACCACGAGGGGAAGAGACGACCCTTGACCTCCCCTGCATGTAATAATTGGCAAAAAGCAAAGCAAAATAATAAACATGATATTATAACAGCAGGCCGCGTCACAGCCGTGTGAGCTCAGTGCTGCACCTCGGCGATAATAATTAGAGTAGACTTTGGTAAAGGGTTGAATTCTGGTTGAATCATTTCATCTTAATTTCTTAACATAGAAATAGACAGTTATGAGTTGCTATCTCCCCTCCTCTCCCTCTCTCTCTCTCTGTCTTCTTCATCCAGTAGCAGGCAGGTCAGTGAGCCTCCTCTTTGCTCCTCCCTCTTGCTCTTACCTGGCGCTCAGCCCAGAATGTTGCTGCAACTCTGCCGGCTCTCATTGGTCCCCGCTCTCACACCGCTTTGCAAGAAGGGAAATGACTAACCTCGTCTCCCTCATGCCCTGCCTTGACTTCCCCTTTGCTTTCACTCTTCACTTTCTTTCACCACCTCAAATACACACTTGCTATGAGCAGCTTTTCTGGCCTTGAGTGTAAGTGTCACCGAGTTTTTTCTATTTGATTCTTCTCTGCATTGACCAGAGGAGGTGGAAAAATGTGAGTTGCTGCTTTGTGCATTTCTGCGCGTGTGTGTGTGTGTGTGTGTGTGTGTGTGTGTGTGTGTGTGTGGAAGAGCCAGAGACAGAGATAGAGGAAGAGTGTTTTCAGTTGAGTGGTGTGATAAGTGTGTGTGTGTGTGTGTTCGCAGAGAATGAGGAGAGTAAAAGTATTTGTTTGAGATGACACATATGTGAGATTTTTCTTTTGCCTAATCCCCATTTCTCCTGCGGAACTGTTTAAATAGTAAAAGTATCAACGGGCAAAGTTTTTTTTTTTTTTTTTTTCAGAAATGATCTTACCGTATCTTACTGTCTCCCTGTCTTGATCTCTCTCCCCAGAGGAAGTGCCTTCCCTGATGTCTGCTGCAGCTTTGACCTGCTTCTCCAGCTGAAGCTCCACCCAGCCCCCTGCACCGCCTTGCACGCTTTCTGCCACAGCAACACGAGTACGAGGAAAGTGACCTCACCCTCTCGCAGCCTACGCTCCAACCTGCTCGTCCATTTTCCCTAACCACCATCCTCTTAGCAAAGCCCAAAATCAGCTCCTTCAGACGGCCTCGCTGCCAACTGCTGTCCATCGGCTGACCAGCCACACATCACCGGGCTCTCACACACACACACCTTGCCTTTCACCTTCGCCTTTGATCTGGTGAGCCTCCTCTCGGTCCTCAGTGTCCTTAACCTCTGTGGAGCAGGCTGCACTTAAACTGTCACCTTTGTTGCCTGCATCACTGCATCAAACCTGAGAGGGTCTTGTCCTGGCTTGTCCATCTCGTCCTCCTCCATTGTTGCATGTGAATGCTTTAGATAAAACTGTTCGTGCAGCAATAAACAGGCAGAGAACACTATCAAGCAGAGAGTGACAGATCCATCTTTAGGCTCAGACGTTTCCTGGATATAATCATTTTGACAAGAAAAAACATTAAAATGATCCAGTAACACCTCCAACCATACCCTGTGCTTTAACATTTGACTCCAGAAGAGGGGGCACCTCGCTTCACCACAGCGTTCCTCTTTGGATGTTTCACTTCATCGTCACTCACAAGTGTCGCAGACGTTAATAACACCAACAAATAAACACACAAACGCCCCCTATCTGTGGATTAAGTCGCCAGAAGGACTCTCTGAATACGTATTGAAGACGAACGGTCATGGCAATGAACATAGCACATATCCGCGATACAAAGTGGCTGACACTGGAAGTATGTCGGGAGTTCCAGAGGGGCGCATGCTCCCGCTCTGACCAGGAGTGCAAGTTTGCTCATCCGGCCAAAAGCTGTCAGGTGGACAATGGACGGGTCATCGCTTGCTTCGACTCACTTAAGGTAAATAAAGATAGTTTTACATGTATCCAAAGACAGGAGACTGCACATGTTTAGCTCAGATGCTAATCAAACACCTTTATAAATGTATATATTAGACAGAGGACAGAACGAAAGACTAAGTTATATATTTTTTAATTTATTAAAGGAAAAGTCATTTCCAGATTCATAACCTTGAACATTAAGTGAGCCAAGTGTGCACCTGAGTCACATTATTTCTGCCCATATTTGAAGTTTTAATGACTTGAGAAATCAGAATAAGTGCATGTGCCAGTTTGAAGGTGAGGTCTTTGTACCGTTTGTATGAAAGACTTGAAGAGTTCCGACGGTCCGTGTTTAGTATTGGTAATGATGTATCTGACATTTTTCTTATCAGACCATAGAGTTCAGTCAAGGTCACTGAAGCGAACGCACTCCATATATTTGATGCAGTATTGCTACACTACGAGTGTGTGTTTTTGTGCTAGAAGAGATTTATTATAAGATTTGTATTCTGAGTTACCAGCACTAAAGAGTCATTTATAGTTTCTAATAGTACATAGCAACACACTGGGCACAGAATATGCTGTCCTTGGTCCAACCTTTTTTCTGGTTTGAGGACAGGTACATGTGATTAGAGGACATCCGAGGGGTGAGGTGGGGGACGGGGGTGTCTGTTCTATTCAGATGCAGGAAGTAGAAGTCACACAGAGGCTAACAAACAGGTTAAACATGTCGGCCATTGCATAAGATGTAAGCACTGTGACCCGTGTGTGTGGATGAGTCTCAGGTGTATAGTCTCTGACATGTCCGAACACATACGGACGCCCTGAGCCTGAGATCACACCCTGTCTCAGTAGTCACAGAGGAACGAGGCAGTGGCATCTCCGCGTTGCTCTCGCTCAGTCAAACCACTTCCTGTGCAGAGGCCCCGGGGCAGTTGAGGGGTAAGGGTTTTGGGGTTTTTATGTAGCTCTATATGCGAATCAGATGAAGTTGTGCGCCTGTGTATGCAGTAATTTTCCACTAAGCGTAACAGTAACGTAGGAACACCATCACCTTCCATTCTCTCTCTTTCACAATGTGTTGTTTTACCACAGCATCTGTAGCGCTAAGCTAATCTCAACCCGTTTCAGACACAAACATGAACACCTATACTCGTTTTTTTCTCTTTTCTTAGTTCTATTTGTATTCTGCCCCTGTACACGGTGATGACTCGTGGTCATTGGCTGTGTGTGAAGGCCAGGGTTATGATGAGGACAGTGTGTGTGAGGCGACTCAGAACAGTGTTTATAGCCAGCTGTAGACAGAGGAACATTGTCAGGCCCGGGCTGAACTGCTCCCAAGTTTCCTCACAATGTGGTAACAGTTTTTGGTTTTCGTGTGTAACCTATGGATTTGGATTGCAACAATTATTTCCCCAAGCTCCAGAGAGTTTTCAAATTAAGACAGAAACACCTTTTTCCAAAGTAAGTCAGAAAGGTAGAAATAAAAAAGAGTCAGATGATCATCTTTTTTTTTTTCTTTCTGCAGAACTCTGGATACATACAATGACCTGCACTTTTGAGGTGTACTCTAATTGTCCAGTCAGGACTGCTGTTATGCTTGTCTGCGAACAATGTCTTCTTTTACTGTTAGAGAAAGCGGATCCAAGGTCAGGCTACACATTAATGCGCCCCCTGCAGGCTCACAGCAAAAAGATTCTACTATTTAAAGTTTTAACCCTACATTTGAATGAGTGCTCAAACATTCTTCCTTGTTTTATTTTAAATAGTATATTATTTAAGTTTTTTAGTATTTTCCTGACCTATTGGGCATCTTTTCCGACCACAAAGCAATGTCAGATTGATCTGCATGTGGTTGATATGTCAACTGTCATTCACGCTGAGGTCAAGGACACCATTAATGCAACTGGCAGGTAAATGGACCTAAATGAAGGAAGTGAGAGGCCCATTCTAGATGTTTAAACTCATTTCCCAGGAGGACTCATGTATTAATGGGCATGGGAGATCCTTTTTTTATCCACTCGCCCCATTTTTTCCACTCGTAATGAAAACACTGAGTAGGTCTCTGAAACCCGCAGAGGAAAAA